GCCATTTTCTCGTTAACTTTACCTCTGAAACCAGGCAACCCCCACCTCCTTCAATCAGAAATTCTCAACTTCTATTCAAGATAGATGGGTATTTTTTCATTGAAGGCAAGGTAAATGTACAGACTTTAAGATGATGCCAATATCTCCACATGCCCAAAAAGTGACGAGCACCTGATTCCACCACGTCGTGACACGTATCATTACTTGGCTCTCATTAAGTGCCGTAACATTTCTTACATCATTACTTTATTCTCAATAAGTTTCGTAATATTTCTTTTATTATTACTTTGTCCACAATAAGTGCCATCTTATACCATTACTTTGTCCTCAGTAGGTGTCATAATGTTTCTGACAACATTACTTTGTCCTCAGTAAGTGTCTTATTATTTCTGATATTATTACTTTGTCCTCAATAAGTGCTGTAATATTTCTTATATCATTACTTTGCTCCCAGTAAGTGCCATAATATTTCTTATTTCATTACTTTGTCCTCAGTAAGTACTGTAATATTTCTTATTTCATTACATTGTCCTAAGGAAGTGTCGCAATATTTCTTTTTTTTATTACTTTGTCCACCATAAGTGCCATAATATTTCTTATTTCATTACTTTGTCCTCAGTAAGTACTGTAATATTTCTTATATCATTACTTTGTCCTCAGTAAGTACTGTAATATTTCTTATTTCATTACTTTGTCCTAAGTAAGTGTCGTAATATTTCTTATATCATTACTTTGTCCTCAGTAGATGTCATAATCTTATATCATTACTTTGTCCTCAGTAAATGCCATAATACTTCTTATATTATTACTTAGTTCGCAATAAGTGCCCTAATATTTCTTTGATTGATTTTGATTGAGTAGGTGTTTTACGGCACTATCGACGCAATTTTAATATTTCTTTTATTACTTTGTATTATTTTTTCGCAATGAGTTCTGTAATATTTCTTTTATTATTCTTTTAACCTTAGTAAGTGCAGTAATATTTTTTTAATCATTATTTAGTTTGCAATAAGTGGTGTATTATTTCTTTTATTACATTGTATTGCAGTAAGTGCTGTAATATTTCTTATATTATTACTTATTCGCAATAAATTCCTTAATATTTCTTTTATTATTTCTTAGTTCGGAATAAGTGCCGTAATATTACATGTAATTTTATTACATTGCACTACTTTTTCTCAGCACCTTTTCATGTTCACTTAAAGTTATTAAAGACTTATATATTATTTCTGTGTGGATTTGATACACCAAACATCTATCTTCCTTATATCTCTTCTCCTTCCTTTTTGTGTTTGTATTGTTACTCTCTTGTAACACCACTAATCTTCATAATTCATAAATGACCAAATGTGTTGCAAGTGCTGTTAAAAACTCGTACGAAAAACTAAAGCTAAAAACAAAAGATCCCCAAATGTCGCTGTCTGGCCCACAGGTCTGTTCACAGGATTTATGCTGATGTTGATCAAGAACGACAGTCGCGAAGACTTTCGGGTGAGTATTCCTTTACAAAGTCCATAGATATATTATAGTCACTACCCTAGAATTACAAAGTTCTCTCTGCTCAGTGGACCTAGTTTTGAGAAATTTGATGTTAAAACAATGTTGAATTTCACAACATGGTTAAACTTTTTCAATTGCCATTCCTTGAGTATCCTAATAACGACTGCTAATAACCTTACGATTTTGATAGAGCTGATAAAACATTTGGTTTCTGACCTCATTTTCTTGGTAACTGAAAACGGTCAATAATGTCAGACAGAATTTTGCAAGTCTAAAGTAGTGTCCCACAGTAAACTATAAAAACCTCTCAGTAAAATAACATGTCTAGGTTTTGTTATGTCCATAGACACTGTCATAAAAAAAATGGCTGCTCTTATTGGCCCACATGGGCAAATAAGCTGGGGCTTATTGGCCCACATGGGCCATTTAATGCGTTGTTTTTCAAAGTATTTCATACATGGTATTGTCCCAACTTGTTCTCTAACTTCTTAGCTATTGTTCATCTTTTTATTTTTAGCATTAGATTGGAAAACTATACATTCTCAATT